GCCTCCAGGAACAATCAAATGATGTTGACAATAAATAATAATTACAGTGGGAACACTGGCTGAGGTCTCTTCGTTAAACACACAGAATTAAGACAACATAAAAGACCATTTGCTAAAATCCCATTCATATATTTACCAGGCTCTATCTTAAAAGCAATTTCTTGCCTCCAATAAGAATCTGCACTGCAAGACTTCCAGAATCTTACACCTCCGACGGTTAATAATCTTCTAATTTGCAGACCATGTTTATTCATGATCAGCTCATTTTATCAAAGCACTGGGCCTTGACCTTAAGGCTGATGAGCACAAAATAGCTTTGTAGAGAAAAGTAACATCTTTTATTAGATCAACAGACATAGCTGGGGTGAGACAAACAAGACGTTAGGCCACAAAACCCTTCTTCAGGCCTGAAATAGGGGGCAGAAAAATTCAAGTTAAATACAGCTTGGGAGCAGTTGTTCTAAATAAGACTCAATGATGGCAAATTATTACCCAATTTGAGGAAAAGGTATCCACAAAATACTGGGGATATTAATAAGGTGTGAGATGATTAAGCCATTGGATACCACGTGGGCCAAAAGAGATGCCATGAACTGCCAGAACTAAAATAGCCTACAGGCTCCTGTAGACATCGTGTTACCGGGGAATGTCCTGCCTATACAGCTCCAAAACCACCGGATACGGGGGAGCTCCGCAAGGGTAACCTGCACACCTAGGCAGCCACGAGCCCTAAGGTGCAGCTCCGAAGTCTGGGTCAGCGACCGCCCGTGATGCTGGAGCTGGCTCCCACCCCGCCCTCAGGGGTGATTTTGAGGACTACTCCTTCAAAAATGCTTTCCTTGGATTCTTGACGGTTAAATTCTGGGGACAATACTTTTTTTTAGGGACAATACTTTGTAGCCAGCGAGCAAATGATGGAGGCACTACAAAAAACCTCAAATCAGAACAGCGTCCTTCTACTCCTTTGAGCAGAGTGGAAATCACCCCACTGCAACAACAGCTTCTGCATTCACCTCCAGCCGGGGGGCAAGCCCCGCTCCAGCGCTCGCTGCGCACACGTCTATCAGCACGAGATCGGGATGCAGGGATGGGCTCTGCAGAGGCCAAAGCTGTAAAGAAAAATGAACAGGACACCACACCCCTGGATATCTGCATTACTAGGGGTTTTACAATTACTTTACAAACCGCTGCAGGACAAGGAATCTTTAAGTATGCCTTTTAATACTTCCGCAGACTGAGTTTATAAAAAGGAAGAACAAAGGGACACAACAGCTTGGATGATCTAAGCTCTATTAGACAAGGTATCATTTTAAAATGTACACTATATACTTCACATCATGATCATCTGGAAAAACATTTCAGAACCGTTGCTGACTCTACCTTCACCCAACATCTCTCGAGACAGCCCTGATTTTAGAAGGATGTGAAACAATTAAAATGAAAGCACAGGTTCCATGATGCATACACATGGTGAGAGGTATTTACTCGAGGAAGCAGCCCAGCTAGAGTTAACTTACCTTAAAAAGCACTACCTTACACGAGTAAACTGTGGAGAAGGAGGCCCTCGGGAAAGCTAACACCATTTCATGACTTTGCGTCTGTGTATAAAGCATAAGCTGTTCAAAAAGTTCCTCCTAAAGGGTCAAAAGACAATGGTCCAGATGGATTCACTCATCAGCCCCTGCATATTCCTTTCTCTGAAAAGCTTCACTAAAAGGAGTTAAAAAAAAAAAAAAAATTTAGTTCCTTGCCTTCCCTATCAGAAGTTTAGAGAAAGAAAAAAATTCTCGTGACATTTCCGGATGCATTTCGAATAATCAAACAGGAATTGGGAAAAACGAAGGGGAAGGCAAAGAAATAGTTCAAGGGGAAAAAAACCCTGACAATTATATCCTCGCACACCTCTGTGCCTTCCCCACAACTCCCAAAGGAATTGTGAAAAGGGGTGACATTTCCACCTACCCCATTACTAATTTAGGCAAAGGAAGCGCTCGCCAAAAAGCTATTTATAGGAAAGCCAGGGGAGTGGGGGTCCGCGAGGGGTGCAGGACGGTGCAGAACAGGTGCAGCGGCAGCGCGCATGACCCCCACCCGAGGGGAGGATTGGCTAACCCCGGCTCGAAAATATGACATCTTGGGCTCATGATAGTCACAGGGCTTTTCCATCAGCAGGCGGGGCGGGGAGACGGCAGGGAGGGAGGGAAGGGCACGGCAGTGGGGGCCTATAAATCAGAGGCGAACCCGCCTTTTCCTTCAATGAAATAGTAAGGCGAGGCCGAGCTAGAGCAGGGGGAAAAGCAGAAGAAAAAGAATCAGGTGTAGTTTTGTTCAGCTGAAAGTAATTTCAGCATTTTTAATTTTTTTTTTTTTTTCTTCCCTCTCACCGCGTTCCTGTTAAGGAGGCAACTCTGCAAAGATGAAGTACATCATAGGCATTGGAGGGTAAGTTCCTGTTACTATTACATACAAATACACTGCTTTTTCTTCCTGTTTAATCATTGTATGTAAGACGATCGAAGACTTGGAGATTATATATCTGACTATAAAGTAGTATTGCAGGAGTCTAGAAAAGGTGCAGCTTGCTGACTCTGAATTTATGCTTTTCCTTAATGCGGAGAGCTGTGCAGGGCGGCGTATGCCAAACTTGCAGCGTTAACAGGAGGTACGCTGAAATAAGAAAGAAAAAGTATTTCAAGTAATTTCATAGGTCAGATGAAGGGAGCCGTGTGCCTCAGCTATGAAAAATGCTAGTTTCAACTCTAAGTTAGACTTTAAAAAGCTTCCCTGAAAGACAAAGAGGAAAAAAATCCCACTTCAGA